AAAGAAAGAAAAAGAAAGAAAAAAAATAATAGAAGATCCAATCAGGTAAGAGGATATTTAGGGAGAAGAAGGAGGGGTGGAGGGGAAAGGTTGTAGGGGGCACGTTTAAAACCCCTTTCGCTAGGCTAAAACGTGTACGTGGAATCGTAATCCCCATTACACTCTTTCCTGTTTCTTCTCCCAATTTTTTGTATCATAAATGCAATTAAGTTGTTCTTGTTCCTTGTTTTAATTATAAGGAAATACAAACTGCCACGAAGCCTCTACAGGATGCTGGGATAAATATCATTGCTGTTGCTATTGGTAACCAAGTGGGTCAGCCAGAACTAAAAGCGCTAACTGAGGACGAAGAGAAGATTCTGCCATCAACAAAAGACGATAATCCAGACGAACTTGGTAACAGGATAATGAAGAAAATACTTGAAGGTAAAATACCATTCGATTTAAATAAATAAGGTTACATTATAATGTTATTGATGACGATATACAACAATTAAAAAATCCTTTATTTTTACAACCAACACTCTCCTCTCCGCAAGGGGCTCTTTCGTGAGGTTCGCTGCACGGTCATGAAGGCATGAACTACCCACAGCATCACACTCCACCATTGATTTAGTATGATATGATTGAAATAAACAGAAAAAAAGAAAACTGAAGAATTAGATGCTTTTTTATAGTTTTCCGTTGTGTTGACGGAAGAAACTCAATTAGCCCCCCCTAAACTCAATTACTTCCTCCCCCTAACATTTTGGCTGGATCCGCCCTTGATTGCCTCGTTATTTTTATCGTATTCATTAGACATCACGAGGAGTTTCTGTTACATGGGTTAAGGAAGATCATTTTTATAGAGTGCAATCTTTTGTTTTCTGTCGGCTTATGTTTTGTGCAAGGGTATAAGGAGCTTTTGGTATTTCGGGGCTCTTGCTTGTATCTATAATTTTCCTCCGAAGGAGCCACCCTGAAAGTTTGTAAACAAAATTATCATTCATTCATTTTAGTTACCCAGCACGACAGGCATTCCTTGAACTTTCCTTGTCACACATATATCCACGTGTCATTTTCTAGAGTATCACCTCTCTGATACCCATGGTAGTGTCGAAGGCATTTATTTTGAATTCCTATCAACAGGTGCAACTAAAATACCCAAGGTAGACCTTGCGTTCGCCATCTCTGGCACTTCCCAAAATGCTGATGGTACTTACAGACTAATGAGAGATGCGATCAAGTCCATTGCTCAGGAATACGGCACCAACAAGATTCACTATGGACTTATAGTCTTCAGTGATTCGGCATCAATCAAAATACGGTTTTCTGATGTTTATCCCTCAATCGCAAGACTTAAGGCATTCCTTGATGGAATCCCGCGGAGCACTGGTAAGTAATTTATTCAAGTGACATCGAGAAAGCTCCAAAAGTATTATAGGTGAAATATTTATTAAACTATTTGATATCCTAATACTTATCCAGGTCGTACTGCAGCACTAGACGTTGCTCTACAAAGAGCAAGGCAGCTCTTCTCAGGTCCTGGGGCTCGTCCAGATGCCAAGAACGTCTTGGTAGTCATAACTGATAAGGATTCTGGGCTGAGCGAAAACACGATCAAATCTTCAGCCAAACCTCTACATCAGAGCGATGTGCGAATCATCGCTTTTTCGATTGGCAGCGAGGGGAACTCTAAGGAACTACAGAACCTTACACCGTATGAAGATGATGTGAAGAAAGTCACGGTAAATGAAGATCCGAAGAATCTGGCAGAAGAAATTATGAAAATGGTTCTTAGAGGTGAGAACTGAAGTTATTAAAAAGGGTTCATCTAATGTTATTTCGTAAATAAAAATAAAATAAAATAAAATAAAATTAAATAATAAAAAAATAAATAAAATGAAGGTTGTGAATTGCATTGTGAAAATAATTATTATATAGATTAGATGTTATCGATAATTAAATGGAAGAAAAATTGTCATGAAATTTTCGATTTTTTTTGGATTTTTCGTGAAATTCTTAGTTCTATTATTAGCATATTTCTAGAATGAAAAATATTATTCATCGTGGAATTGACAAGAAAGGACCGCGACGTTTTAACTGCAAGCTGCTAGTCTTTTTAGGCGATGGTATAGACTGTATAGTGCGTCTGATTTATACCGCTCGTCGGGTCTTCTATGAAGTGATTTGGTGTTAAATAGACGGTAATAACATACGCACAATCCTGTTTACACCATGTCACCTGATGAAGAATAGCAGTTTTGAGTCGAGACGCCGCGCGTCCTTACTGCAAATGACCCTTAATCGCCAGATAAACAAATTTGTGCCACTTATTATTAGCATTCTTTATAATAATTTTAATCCCGTATCTTGTTGTTTAGATCGTCCTCCCGTGAGAGACGAGCTTGACCTTGCCTTTGCCATCAGCGCAACTGCAGCAAATGCAGACGACACGTTCCAAAGAATAAAACAAACTCTCAAGATGTTAGTCGATAACTACGGTACCGAGCGAGTGCTCTACAGCGTCACAGTCTTCGATGAGAGTCCTCTACGACTTATTCGGTTCAATGATAAGTTCCCTACTGCTAGATTAAAGCGATACATTGATCTGCTCCAAAGAAGAACAGGAACACCAAACCTGGAAAGAGCCCTCCAAGACGCTGAGTATGTGTTCAATTCACCTGGTGCTCGTCCTCACGCCAAGAAGGTCTTAGTGGTGGTCGTGGATAAAAGGTGAGCATGTTTTATAGGACCAACACCACTGAGTTATCAGGGTTATAGAGTACCGAAGTGATGACGTCACAAAATATTATTTTCACTGTATCATAATTTCGATCCTCGATTTCGATAGGATAGTTCATTACATAATGAACCATGGCGAAAATACAGTGATTTGTATGGGGAAGTTATATGTTCAAACGGCCATATCTCTGTTGCTATTCAACTAATTCTCCTGAAATTTGGCGTGGTAGCGTCTTTCTTGATGTTCTATCGAAATTGAGGATCGAAAATTGTCAAAAGTAAAATTTTGTTTTTCGTGACGTCACACTTCGGTACTCTATTGTTCTTACGTTGGGTCATCGGGGCACGCATGGGTGCTTTTTATAGGACAGACCTCTTTAGCTTGTTTTTGTTTTTTGCTTATTTCAAACCACGTGTCAATTTTTTGAGAATATGATTCTTTATTTCATTTCCAAACAAAGAAATTATACTAAAGGGAATGACAGGTGCTCTGAAGTGAGCAAAACATTACGCCCGAGCTCAAGAGCTTCAAGCACGTGTCATTCCTTTGAGAATATAATTATTTGTTTCAATTGTATCC